TTGCCCCCTCTGACCCCTGGGAGGCAGGGTGAGTCTCTAAAGGGTCCTGGAACACACCCTAGGACCTGTTGGAGGCTCATCCTGCCCCCCCCGGGCCAGAACGGGCGAAAGCGCCACCTTCTTGGACTCTTTTGAGGCTTGGGAAGCTTCAGAAGAGTCCCAGAAGGTGGCGATTTATCCCCCTCTGACCCCCAGGGGGGCAGGGTGAGCCTCCAAAGGGTCCTAGGGTGTGTTCCATAAGATGGACCTCTCCATAAGGCTCACCAATTTTTAGGAGAAGAAAACATATTATTTTTTTCCTGTTTTCTTCTCCTAAAAATTTGATGCGTCTTAGGGAGAGGTGTGTCTTATGGAGCGAAAAATACGGTATCAGCATGTCATTCTGACATTTTTGGGTAGGACGTAAGGACTTAAGCTGGCTTGTCTATCATGCTTTACAGGTAGTTTGAAATCAAGATGGGGATCATGTGCTTTGAAGGTCCAGATAAACAATTAATGAATGTAGAAGATAGGCAAGAATGGGGGAGTTTGGAGAGAAAGATATGGAGGGAGGAAAGAGCAAATGAATTATTTGAAGGATGGGATTCTGCTAGTCCAAGGGCTATTTGATCTGCAAGGTTAAAAGAATGGTCTGAAGTTTGCTGTTGTGGGATTATATGGCATGGAGGGAGAGCTGAAGTGGGTATTGTGACTTACACTGTGTTGCAAGATCTGAGCTTGCTGCTTATAAATTCCTGAACTTGCCATCAAGAACCATGTCAGGATAATTGAGGGAGGGGGCCCTAATGCAACATAATTGCCAATGTATGGGTGTAGTTATGAGCTGCGTATAGATGAATCTTAAGTAGCACATGTTAGGGCAAATACTGTACAATTTTTCTGTTAATACAGTGCTGCCCTGCATAGCGACGATAATCCATGCAGCCAAAATCGTCGCTATACGGATTCGTTGCTATGCGAAATAAAAAAGCCCATAGGAATGCATTAAAACCCATTTAATGCGTTCCTATGGGCACAAAACTCACCTTTATGCGAAAATCCTCCATACAGCCACCATTTTCGCTGCCCGGTAAGCGAGGAATCTGGGCGAAAACACAGCGGACGGCCATTTTTTAAACCCGGCAGCCATTTTGGAACCGCCGATCAGCTGTTGGGAAATCATCATTATGTGAAAATCGGTAAGCGAAACAGCTTACCAATCATTGCAAAGCGATTTTTCCTCATTAGAAACATCGCAATGCGATCGCAAAAATGATCGCAAAAAAATTGTCATTAAACGGGGTGCCCGTTAAGTGAGGCACCACTGTATTTGTATACTTACTGCTTTTGGCTTTAAATATTGTCCTTTTAATGAGGTAAGCTGCATTGAGTCCTTAAGCACAAAGGCAGAGTAAAAATATTTTAAATAAATGAATAAAATAAATCTGCATCTGAGTTACTATCAACAAGTACAACTAAAGTAGCTCAAACAGTGTAATTTAGAAACAAGGTTTTTTCAGTTGTTTGTCTTAAGGCATTTGGCAGTCTAAGGAAGTGCCACTTCAAAGACTAATAGATTTGTTGTGGAATAAACTTTCATGAATCAGAGTTAATTTTTTCACGAGCGAAGCAAACTATTTTTATTCAGGCCTTCCCTCCAGTCAATACTTGATTCTCTCTTCTCATTTCTCCTTTATTTATCTTTATTCTAGTTTCTTGGTTTTCACGTTTTCATTTGAAAATGTACTGTATGTAACTATGTGTTTTTATCAATTGTCTATATTATATTGGAAGCCGCTCAGAGTGGTCGGATAGACCAGATGGGCGGGATACTAACTAACTAACTAACTAACTAACTAACTAACTAACTAACTAACTAACTAACTAACTAACTAACTAACTAACTAACTAACTAACTAACTAACTAACTAACTAACTAACTAACTAACTAACTAACTAACTAACTAACTAACTAACTAACTAACTAACTAACTAACTAACTAACTAACTAACTAACTAACTAACTAACTAACTAACTAACTAACTAACTAACTAACTAACTAACTAACTAACTAACTAACTAACTAACTAACTAACTATTAATTGAGTCAGATATATCTAATGAAATGAGCTGTTGCCTTCAAAAACTTGTGCCATTATAACATTTTATTAGTCTTTAAAACGTAGTGAGACTCTGTTGATTTGGCCTACAGATTCTCTAGTGTCATTTGCCCTTTCATGCATACAGGAAAATGTTTAAAGAAGTGGATGGAAGTGGCATTGTGATGTTGAAGAAGGGGAAAATTAAGTAGATATATCTAATGAAATGAGCTGTTGCCTTCAAAAACTTGTGCCATTATAACATTTTATTAGTCTTTAAAACGTAGTGAGACTCTGTTGATTTGGCCTACAGATTCTCTAGTGTCATTTGCCCTTTCATGCATACAGGAAAATGTTTAAAGAAGTGGATGGAAGTGGCATTGTGATGTTGAAGAAGGGGAAAATTAAGTACTGTACAGAGAAAAGAAATGTAAATGTATCTGGCAGATAACCATGTTTCTTTTTTAAGCATCAGTATGTAATAAATAAATGATGGTAAATTACATTGAATTTTCTAGATCATCTAAATTATCCCCCTCCCCCCAATTTTTAGGCAATGTCCCACTTTCTTATCCGGATAATCATCTTGGACAATTGGATGTAAATGAATTATATTCAAAGTTACTTTCGACAGGAATCCTCAAAGTTTTACAGTCTGATTCAACTTCAGCACGTAAGTATAATTTTCACTTTTTTGTTCTCTTGTTTTGAACTGTTAAGAATGTTAAGCTGTTCTATGATAGAAAATAATTTGTGGCATCCTTTATATTTTGATTCAAAAGTATTTGCCATTTTGTAGCACTCAGAAATAGTTAACATAATGAGTTACCTTTTGCTGGGAGGGATTTAGCAGATTTGAGAAAAACATAACCTTTTGAGATGGGGGTTTAAGAGCTGAGAAAAAAGTTACACTTTTCCTTGTTCAAGCCAAGCGATAGAGTTGGAAGACAAAGTAGTCATACATTTTAAAAATACTAATGTCCATTTTTATGTTTAGAAATGGTTAAAGAAGACTATAATGTTGTATCCTAGAAAAAACTACTTTAATTTCACAAAAGCAGAATTTATAAACCTTCTAGCTCACACTTGACAACATGTCTTATCTTGTTTAGAAGTCAATGAAGTTTCTACTCAGCCAGCTCCGGAAGAGGAGGAGGAAGATCAAGACCAGAATGAGGATCAAGATGTCCCAGACTTAACTAATTTTGTAATAGAAGAACTGAAACAGTATGTATATTTATAGGAAAAGCAGGGGGTGTAACCCAATGTTCCAGGTAGTCATGTCATTTTAATTAAGTAGGCAATGTAATTGTTGGATCAAAGAACACCTGGATTTAATTCTGATTACGTAGAAAACTTGTTTTAAGGGAGGAAGAGTGCTGTGTTCACATATTAACTACCTCAGCATTTTTGAAGTATGCTTTTTATAGAACTACACAGGAAATACTTTGTAGTTTTCTAGATGAAAAGATCCCATCTAACAAGTTTTCATATAGCTTGATTTGCTTTAAGTGCTTCTCTCTGATACGCATTGGCCCTTTGTAAACCTGTATAGCTTTCCTCCCTTTTTATCCTTTGATTTCCTCTCCCAACCCCAACTTCTGCAATCCAGTTCAAGAATTTGCTAAGACTGAACAGGTTTACTGATCCATGAATGAAAAGGTGACCCCAGAGAGGTTTGTCTTAACTCATCATGCCAGCCCCATTCTGTATTGCTTTAGGTCATTAATAACTTAACAAATGACTTGGAAATTTGAAACCATTCTTAGCAATCTTCTAGCTTGAAAACAAGAATGGTCTGTCATTGAAGCAACAAATCTTTTAATTTTGATTCACTTTTTATCCCTAAAGTAATGGACACCACTCAGCTTCTAAGAGGTTTGTGACTTATTTTCAGGCGCTACGATAGTGTGATAAACCGACTCTACACAGGCATTCAGTGCTACTCTTGTGGAATGAGGTTTACGACTTCTCAGACAGATGTATACGCCGACCACTTGGATTGGCACTATCGTCAGAACCGCACGGAAAAGGATGTTAGCAGAAAAGTCACTCACAGAAGATGGTACTACAGTTTAACAGTAAGTGACCAATGCTTATTTTATTTTATTTCTGGGCCACCTTTCTCCTTGTGTTATGGAACACAAGGTCTGGCTTACAGAACACGGTAAATTATCATGTTAAAAAGGAATTAAACTCCTGAAGTGTGAAAAAATCAGTTGAAACAACCCTTAAGAGCAAGTTAAAGAACATACATGAAATAACATCCAGCACCCAAAGTCATTACTGCTCAGTTAGCTGTTACTTGTGTAAAAAGTATGGTCTTCACTTGTTACCAGAAGGACAGGAAGGGGGCCAATGTGGTTTCCTGGGGCAGGGCATTCCACAACCTGGGAGCAGCCACAGAGAAGACCCTCAAAGCACCATCCAATGCACCTGACGGAAAAGCACCATCCAATGTGGCTTCCCTTGAAGATCTTAAGTGCCAAGAAGGCTCATATGGGGAAATGAGATCCTTGAGATAGCCTGGACCCAAGCCCTATAGGGATTTATAGATCATAATCCATACTCTGAATTTGGCCTGGAAATAAGACTGGCAGTCAGTGATGCTATAGTGACAAGGAAGTTGTGTGCTCCTTGTAACTGGCCCCGGCCAGCAGACTGGCTACATTTTGTCTTCGAAGGCAGTTCCAGATAGAGTATGTTGCAGTAATTCAAGTGGGATACAGCTGAGGTATGTCACCATTGCCAAATTTGGCATCTGCAGGAATGGTACATCACCTTTAGCCTGCAGCCAAGCTCTGAGATTAAATCCATGAATACATCCAAGCTATGCACCTGAGTTTGCAGGGGGACTAGTTCTGCCTCTTTTGGATTAAGTTTCAGTTTGTTTGATCTCATCCAGGCCATAACTGACACCGAGCCAGCTTCCATGGAATTTGATGGAAAGGAGAGAGAGTTGAATGTTGTTCATCATATTGGTGACATCAAACTCCAAACTGCAGTTAGCCTTTCCCAAGGTTTCATGTATATGTTAAATAACACGGGACAAGACAGAACCTGGAGGAACATCACATGCCAAAGACTAGGTTGTTGAGCAGGAATCACCCAGCACCACTTTCTGAGTTGTTCCCTCGAGGAAGGACTGGGGGCCACCTTAACACAGTGCCTCCAAGTCCCACCCGAGAGGGACGGCCAAGAAGGATACCATGGGTGATGGGATCAGAGGCGACTAAGAGGTCAAGCAGAACCAATAGGGACACATTTCCCCTGTCCAGTTCCTGGCATAGGCCATTCACTGGATAACCAAAGGGATCCCCATCCCATATCCAGGCCTGAAGCCCAGATTGGTATCAGTCTGTAGTATCTGAGCATATAGAGGAATTGCTATATTTCAAGGGATTGACATGCACAGGCACAAAAAAAATTACACCTTACATGGTTATTTAAGCTAGCTCAAATAAAAAATGACTGTTTCTGAAAGTTCTATACTAGACTATGGTCTCTCAAAAATGTTATTAAATCCCTGACAAATTATTGTCTCTAAATGTTTGTAATTCCTTTGCTGTATACTTCAGGGCAGCTGCCTACTGCTTTTTGTAAATCTTTGGCTGCCAATCTTAACTCACACTCTCTGGCCTTGACCCACTTTTCTGCCAGTACAAGTCAGACAGGCAATACCTTGCTCTTTGCAGTCTGCTGCCAAAGTGGCCTCTGGTGGTCTATTGAGAAGTGCAGTGTTTGCATCTCTCTTCAAGAACTGTTTTGCAGTTGCAGTGGCTAAATATTAAACATCCCTTGATATATTTATACTCTTATCAAACAGATACATCTTTTCTCTGACTGAACTAGAAGTTTTCACAGATGGCAGTTGAGGGTAGAACTCCCAGTCCCACCATTGAGTGGGTATTCCCCACCCTGGTCAAATTTTGACACTGGGAGCTGTCAGAACAGCAAGAAGTAGAGCAGCCCCCTATCCTACACCATTTCTTCAATCCTCTGAAAAGCAGGATTCTCTGTGGCTCACAGCCATGCAGGTGTGGGGGGGGAGCAAAATGGGACTGGAAGTTGTTTTATTCTGAAAGTCAGCTTCCCTAGCCAGGAGTGCATTTACACAGTAGAAGTTAGTGTGCGAATTTTATCCGTTGATTAAGATGTTGCACATGGCTGCAGTGACACAAGTCTTCATTATGTCTGTCTTGGATTACTCCAACACGTTCTGCATGGGACTGTTTTTGAAAAGTATTCAGAAACTTCGACTGGTTCAAATGTTGCAGCAAGACCGCTGACTAGTACTGGTTACAGAGAGCATATCACTTCCTCTATTAGATAGTGTTACTGGCTGTCAGTCTGTTTCTGAATTCAGTTCAGAATGCTGCTCCATATTGTCACTCATTCAATCATTTTGGGGCATTTTTGTTTATATTATATCTCGCTATACTTTAAATTGTGTTCATTGCTTTAACATGATTGTGAGCTGCCTTGAGTCCCCTGTGAAGAGAGAGGCACCATATAAACTAAATTAAATTAATATGTTCCTGACACTATACTGCCTGTGACATTTGTTTTAATCCCAGTGTCTGGGTGCTTGCTCCTTCACCTTTTCAGATACTATAGGCGAAAACAAAATAAATAAAAAAGACAAAAATGTTGTGGCACCTTAAAGACTTCCTTTTCAGATATCAGTATACTGGCCATAAAATGGAGAACAAGTTTTTCAACTAAATTGTTATTAATTGAAGGTTGTGTTACTTGACAGTTGGAATCAGCCTTATATTTAATGTATTTTGGGTTAATTTTGATGAACCAGAGATTTTACATAGTGCAGGAGCAGAAGTTCTGTTTTTAAGGAAGCATAAGGGTTCAGAGGGGGATGTACAACATGGTTTCATCTTGTTCCTTAAAACCTGATCGTAGTGCTACTGTATTGATGCTTCCCTATGGGGAGATGTTGTCTGCTTTTGAATTTAATGTTTTGGGAGTGTATATGAAAGATAAATAATAACCAGGAACTTTGATGGCAGGTCAAAATATTTAGAAACAATTTTTGGTATTTTTTATATTTGTGTTTTTCTTTAGGACTGGATAGAGTTTGAAGAAATAGCAGATTTAGAGGAGCGTGCAAAGAGTCAATTCTTTGAAAAAGTGCATGAAGAAGTAGTGTTAAAAACACAAGAAGCTGCTAAGGAAAAGGAGTTTCAAAGTGTCCCTGCAGGGCCAGCTGGAGTCGATGAAGTAAGTATTACTGTCTAGCTCCTGGCCTCAGATGTGTTTTATTTTGTGAAAAATTACTAAATTGTGTTAATTTGTTCTTATTCATATGCCCCAGTATTTGAAATAGATGAAGAGAGAGGAGATCATTTACATGTGTTTTACTTCTGTTAAATATGAAGATCTGCAGCTCAATGCTGATCTTGTTGTAGTTAGGGTATTATGATAAGGAAGGAGGAAATATGATAAACTAAATCAGAGTATACTGGCCTTCATTTTTATCAGTTCTTGGTGGAAAAGAAATCCTGTTTAAATAATGTCTGGTAGCCCTTAGTGTACAAGGTCTGTTTATTATGTTCATTAAAAGTCATAAACAAATGGTGGCCATACTTTTGAATAGTTGGCTGTAGCAAATTCCTGGGTCTATTTCCCTAGCGTGGCAGTCTGGCTGCCAGTTGTTTATGACTTCCAATGAATATAATAAATCATAAAACCTTATATTCAAATGTGATGCTTATGGGTCTTGTTCGGATTTCTAGCCCCCCTCCCCTGGCCTTAGTCCCTAGCTCTCCAAGATGCTGAAAAATTCCTCTGCAAAGTTTCTCAGCATGCCAGAGCGTGTTTCTGGGATGTATAAGATGATGCAGGGGTCACAGTGTTTCTTCTTTGTGGCCTGTATGAAGGTGCACTGATGGAGGCTAAACTGCACACACTCCGCTAACCTTGGAACCTGTGAGAACTGAGCCAAGCAGTGGGAGTCCCGTCCCCTTTCGAGGGTGTAACCGATCCATTCTATGTAGGTCTCGGTAGATCATAGCCAACAAGTTTTATCTGCTTTTCTGTTCTTTTCAGAGTTGTGAAATCTGCCAGGAGCAATTTGAGCAATATTGGGATGAGGAAGAGGAGGAATGGCACCTAAAAAATGCAATTCGTGTAGATGAAAAGGTAATGTTGAATGTGGGCTGCTTTAAAAGCAACTGTTTTAATTTTAGGCAGGTGGTATCCCTTGAAATATTCTTTTCATGTTTGTACTACAACTGAGTCCCCTCATTCCATGCAGTGAATTGTTTACAAAACCCCAGCTTGAAAGCAAGGCCTGGCTTAACATTTAAATATAAGCAAATGGAAGCCAAAACCTGCTACTAGTACAGAAGATTTAAGTGGCTTTAATTGGTACTCGGACGTTCCAGTTGGTTTGCAATGTAAAAAAATGCATTTTAAAATATGTAGTAGCATGTTTGTTTGAAGATGTGAAGATTTATATTGTTTATCTTCCCTCTTCAGATCTACCATCCATCGTGCTATGAAGACTATCAAAAGGTAAGTGCATTCATGTTTTGATTTTGTCTTTTGTTTTAATGAATCATAGTTGGTTGGCAGCTAGTCTTGGCTTTTTTCCTGAGAGTGTTGAAAATGTGAAATAGTTTTTTTACTCTGCTGAAGTTTGAATCACATAATGAAAGCTTAAAAATGATGAATGTGGGCTTGTTGGATCTCTTAAAATCTTCCTGTTTCATTCAAGTCAGATGCAGCTGTGAAACAGTGAGAACTAGAAATGCTTTTGAAAAAGAAATCTGGACCCCTAGAATTCCTGCAAGAAAAAAAGTATTTCATGAGAGATACTAAAGATCACCCAGATGACACATAGTTATAAAAGCAACATTTTACATTTACCATCTTCAGTCTTCTCTCTCTCTTTTTTTAAAAAAAGTTATGAAAGACCCAGTAGTAAAAAAATATTTTGTTTGGTATTGATTTTGGCTTACAGACCTCATCCTTTGATTCAACGCCATCACCCAGCAAAACACCTGTAGAAAACCCACTAAATATTATGTTAAATATTGTCAAGCAAGAAGTACAGGACTCTTGTAACAGCCCCAAAGTTGAGGAAAAGCCTGATGAATGTATGGAGGAGAACACACCTGCATCTGCTGAAATTAAAACGGAACCTGAAAAGGTTGAGTCGGTTTAACAAACTGTGATTTTTTTATATTGCAGAAAAGGTACTGTGTTCTAGCTGACTCTAGAAGGCAAATAATAATTTTTATATGAATAAAGTGTTCTCCTGGGGCAGGGCCCCAGCTACTTCTTTGGTTAATAAATACATTTTTGTATTTGGATTTCTTATTGCCTGCACCGTGTCAGGTGTCTATTGTGTGAAAGTTCTGTAGATGGCGTACAAATATAACAGGAATAGATTGTATATATAAGAAAAATTGTATAATTTTTTTTCATTTGTGGAAATGTAAATTATAAATAAAAGATATTTTTGCTATCTATGGAGTGTAATATTTATGCACACCATCTAATAAAAAGAATTTCTGTTTTGGGGTGTTTTAAATTAAAATCAACACAAACTTCTACATCAGCCTTGTGTTTAAATAGGATTCTGAGGTGAAAGTACAGGCTTAGAAGTTTGTAAAGGAAAGAACATTTCTGTTTCAGAAGAAATTCTTGAAAACACTGGATTTCTTCACTTGACCTGTGTAAACATGCAGACATTTAAAAAGAAAGAGGTGACACAATAAGATAATGTGCTTTACTTCACGTGCCAACAATTTACAGCAAAATCAGTGTGTACTTGAGGGAAGAAGCAGACTCAGATTTTCATAAAACATTTCCTACCATTCAACACACATGAGAATTTAGTGCAACCAAGCCAATTTTCTTTACATTTTATATAGAGAAAAATTAATGTAAGATTGCTCCGTTGCAATAAAATTAATGTTTTTGTTGGTTTCTAACTTGGGTTTAGCGTAAAAAGATTACCAAGAGATGTTAATATTTATTTCATTTAATAAAGTAGAATGAAGCATATTCTAGTCTGAATCTCTTTATTTCATGGTCTGCTTTGGGGAGAGATTGAATTTGTCTCTGTAGGTTATGACTATGTGCGTGGTGATGTGGTCGAATGTGAGAGGGCATTGTGTTTAATTTACAGTGGTACCCCGCATGACGATGATAATCCGTTCCGTGAAAATTGCTGTTTAGCAAAATCATTGTCATGCGAAAATCATTTCCCCATTAGAATGCATTGAAACCCATTTAATGCGTTCCAATGGGGAAAATAGTCATCGTCCAGCGAAGATCGCCCATAGGGAAGCCATTTTGCGAGTGCCGATCAGCTGATAAAATGGCTGTCCTGCGAAGCATGGGTCCCAAAAACGCAGGGAAGCCATTTTGCAGAGCCGCCAATCAGTTGTAGAAATTGTCATCTTGTGAAGAAACGGTCCACGAAGCACGGACCAAATCATCGTCCAGTGAAAATCCCCCATTGGAACGAATGTTTTGTGAATCGCTATAGCAATCGCAAAACCTCATGCGGATTTGTCGTTTTACGAGGTCGTCTAGCGAGGTGCCACTGTATGTATATTTCCAAATGTTCAAAGATACTTGAGATAAAACACTAGAATATATAGGAGGATCACTCTGCCTTGTTTAAAAAAAAACATAAGTTGCCATACTCTTTGGCATGAAATGGGCCTTGCATAAAATAAATCCTTGCTTCCTCATTTTAACATATGGAATAAATGTGCGTATGTTTTAATTCATCCTCTTGCCCCACATAGGAAGGGGAACAGTAAAGTTTGTCTTATTGGTGCAAGAAACCTGTTGATTCCTCCTTTGCTTTTTACATCATTGTAATAATATGGACTTGGAACTTAAATGTACTTTTAAAAGCTGAGATTTTTAAAGATGATAATTGAACAACAAAATTTAACTTGGGGGGAAAGACCTCTGTGTCAAATGTCAACCATGGAATCAAGTAATGGGGTATAGTTTTAGGATTTAGAATATCTATACAGTATGTGTGTTTGAGAAGTGAAATAAAGGCAGTGAAGCAAAGAGCTACTTCAAATACAGAATGATTAACAGTGACCTTCATTTCAGCCTATACATCCTGGCACCAAGTGGCAGTACAGTTGTTCAGCCATGGAACTCCCTTTTTATAAAGCTATATTTTAACGTGAAAGATCCAAACAAGATTTATATGCCACGTTACACGAGGGTAGAGGATTAAACCACAGGCATGTTGGAACTAGGTTTGAGCTCACTTGAAGACTGCCATGAATTTTTGGGACATGGGGTTTAGACCATGATAGCTCGCACTACTTTGGTTTTTTTTAGCGGACTAATAAAAGTATCACCACCTCCTGTATTGTTATCAAGATCAGCAACTGTTCCACTGAGCAAATATGAAGGATATGGGTTTTGGAGATTAAAGCTATTAATGGCTTCTAGTCACGATGGTTAGACATTACCGCTGATAACTAGAGGCATTGTACTGGGGAACATGGATGAGAGTATGCTATTGCACTCCTGCTCTTACAACGTTAGATGGTCTGAACTGGTGTACTACTACTGTAAGTGTACATACAGTATAGTCATGTTGCATTACATACACAGTGCAATTATATTCCATGGAATCTATTCTTAAAGTATGTACAGGATTAAGGTTTTAAGAGGATCAAAGGTACTTTCAAACTGGATGTGGGCAGCAACAAATGTACAAGGACTTGCACTAGAGACCACATGAAGAACCCTGTCTTCAAGTACATCGGTGTCCAGTAAATTTGGAAGCACATGTGCTCATCATCATGGTAGTCTTCACAGCCAGCCCCCTGAAGGAGAGCCCAATAGGATCCTTAATAAAGCCATATCAAGATACAAATTTTAATCTCCCCCCCCCCGGAGCAGTTGTAGCTGTGTAAGATGATGGATCTTGAATGCTCATGCAAGACTAAACTACCCGCCAATACATAGCAATGAGCTGGCTGGATAGCCCAGTGGTTTAGGTATCGGGCTGCGGAGCCAGAGGTTGGGAGTTTGATTCCCCCACTGTGCCTCCTGGAAGTACAGCCAGTCTATCTGGCCTTGGGCAAGCTGCACAGTTCCATTTCTGAGTATTTTCTACCTGGAAAACCCTGAAAAGATTGCAGTAGGTCAGAATTGACTTAATGGCACATTATTGTATTAATACTTCCAGCAGGGTTAGCTTGCCATCAGTTAGTGTTCTTGGGACAATCTGCTTCTCTGCTAGCTACTCTAAGGATTGCTACATAGCTCAGTAAGACAAGGAAGCTGGGGCTGGGGAAGAAGGTGGATGCTGTCATAGTTCCCATAATCAGAAAGTCCCAGGGAAAGAGATATGGGTGGGTGTGCTGAATCCACCACACCATTGTACAAGTAGGCCTCTTTCTAGATTCCCTGTTTGGTTTGAGAGCAGGATAGTTACTCTGGTGCTGAAGGAAATGGGCTGTGTACCCACAAAATCTTTGGCACCTGCTCCCTTGGAATGACTAGGACCCTGCCCAACCCCAGTACCCCACAATTGCCTGTATCTGTGTCTGTATGTGTAGCAAAAGTTCAGGGTTCCTTCCCACAATTGCCTGTATGTGTAGCAAAAGTTCAGGGTTCCTGCTTGTGATTGTCTCAGCTTCACACTGTGAATGCAGGCGAGTGATGAATCGCTTGAACCAATGGAAAGGATGTGTGTTTTAAAAAGCAGAAGCCTCCCTGGTGGGGAGGAAAACTTACGTATGGATGTAAGATGAGGTGAGAACCCAGCTATTCTCATTGGAGTGCTGTCCTGTAGAGAAGAAGGTAAAGACCTCACCAATTTCCCAACCCCAAAAGACACAGCCACCGGAAACAGACCCAGAGTGTGTGGGGAGAGAATTACAAAATCTGGTGGTTAGAGAGACCGGGAAGGTGTTGGCATAAAAAGAGCGGAAGTCCAAGGTAGAAGTAGAGGCAGGGATGGCTGATATAAAAGAGAGAGAAGGAGAGCTGCCTGCAGATTGGGAATGGATTTGGATGCAGGGCCCATGGACTGGGAAGTGGGAGACACTCTGGATCCCCAAGGAAGAAGCCAATTATAGAAGGAGAAGGGAAGTAACCCCGAGACCATCATACTGGGGTGAAACAGAGGCGAAAGAGTGGAGAAGGAGATTAAGGGAAGAGAAAGAGAAGGTAGAGAGGGAGAGACAAGAGAGAATAGAATGGAGGCCGAGGGTGTCCCAGATGAGGGGGTACTCGCCAGACTCTGGCAGACCTTGGAGACCGCCCGGGAACCCACCTGGATGAAACCCAGGGACGAATCCTTTTGGAGGGAGAACCCGGACAGATATTAAATACCGGGGTGACCAAGGACTGGCCGGGGCCATGGAACTCTGTTGGAGGAAACCCCTTTAAAGAAGACACTTGGAAACCCCTTCCTGACCAGTCATTAGAAGGAGACAAAAGTTGGAATGTTTTTTTCTGACACTGGTTTCTTGTTGAACACTGCAAGAAATGTTACTTCCGTTACCAAACCTCGTAAGTCTGCTAATTTGTTTGGTGCAAAGCAAGAACCAGATACCGAACCCTCACAATGGATTGTACTGGGGGACTCCCAGCTGATTCCCATTTCCTGTTGTATTGTGTGGTCGTGGGGGG